ACGAGTAAGCAGCGAAAAATAAAACAGGGGGTTCGACAGGGTGGTGTACTTTCCCCACTACTGTTTAACTTTTACATTTCAAAGCTCCCTCAACCACCAGAGGGAGTCTCGATTGTCTCTTACGCCGACGATTGCTCGATCATGNTCACAACCTGGACGAAGGAGGTCAGGCTACCGCTGGGGATTCACGTCGATGACACACCAATTCCGACGGTGAATAACCCCAAAATACTCGGAGTAACATTCGACAGCCTGCTCTCCTTCTCTGCGCACTCAACCGCTATTGTCAATAAAGTACAGAGCCGCAACAAGGTCCTCAAGTCGCTAGCCGGCAGTACTTGGGGCAAAGACAAAGAAACGTTGCTGGCAACATACAAGGCAATAGGCCGGCCGGTCGTAAACTACGCAGCAACAGTGTGCTCGCCGGGGACTAGTAGGACGCAGTGGACGAAGCTACAGACGGTGCAAAATACAGCACTCAGGACAGCGACAGGATGTCTCCTGATGACACCAGAACACCACCTCCACGATGAAGCAAAAATGCTCCCAATTAGGGAGCACAACACGATGCTCTGCAAGCAGTTTCTTGTTGGGAGCCACAGATGTGGCAACCCAAATAGACAGCTGCTTGCAGAGGAGCCCTCGCCGAGGCACGTCAGGAAGCATCTATATGAACTGACGGACGAAGTCCAGAGGTTCATTAAGCAACCTCTGGACCCGTCAGCTCATAGACAGGCTCTGAACGGCATTCACAGGGACGCAATCTCGAGTAATGTAGACTCAAGACCTGTGAATGCCGTTCTAGGCACACAAACACCGGACATCGACATAACGGAGCTCCATCTTCCTCGGGAGACCCGAACGACAATAGCCCAACTTTGCTCTGGTTACTGCAGCAGGCTAAATTCCTACCTGCCTAGGTTAAATGCGGATGTGCCGAACGAATGTCCGGCATGCGGAGAGACCCCACACGACTCAAAACATCTCTTCGCATGCCCGGAAAACCCCACAACCCTAACGGCGTCGTCCCTATAGACTGACCCCATAGAGGCTGCACGCTTCTTGGGGCTGCCGTTAGTGGATCTCGACGACAACGACTGAGATATCAGCCGATCTGGGCGAGGTTGTTGTAGCCGCTACAACAACAACAACAACAGAGAAAAATAGCAGAGGAAATTTGTTCCTTCAAGATTATCTATCAGTTAATAAATGCCAATGTTACATTTTAAAACTGGATCAAAATCTTCAAAAACGTCAAGCCAGTGGAGTTGAACAATTTAAAAGCAGTTGTGTTTTAAAATGTAATCTAATATTGTCGTTAACAATTACAAATCCACTTTTATTAACCCATATGCAATGTGGGTTCCCTTTGGTTTTCAAATGTGGTCATATTTATTGTATGTAATTTATGTAATTTTGTTTCTATTTTTTATTTTGTTAATAAATTATAATTAAAAAAATGTGGGTTCCCTTTGGTTTTCAAATGTGGTCATATTTATTGTATGTAATTTATGTAATTTTGTTTCTATTTTTTATTTTGTTAATAAATTATAATTTAAAAAAATTTGACGTTTTTCTGGCCGAAATGACGATTATTTCAGGCTAAAATTACGATTTTTCAGCAAAAGCTTTCGACAACGCTGCATCAGAGCTCATCGCATTCATCCATGATTTTCTGTTCCATTTCCATTTACGAAGCTTGAAGCCAGCGCCGTCCAGATACGCTCCATTTGCTTTGCCAACCTAATGGCCCTTTGCTCATTATCAGCCCCTGTTACGCAATCATCCATATACATATCATTCACAATCCCATCAGCAGCTTCTGAATATTCTCCTTTTGCGTCTCCAGCACACTGAATTACTGCCCTTACCGCATTGTATGCTGAAGACGTCATCCCGTATGTGACAACAGTTAACCAATATTCTCTTAATGGCTCATATCTGTTCTCGCGCGAAAAAAATCGTTGCAAATCCCATTGGTGCCTAGCAATTCTAACCTGACGGAACATCATCTTGATATCCGCACTGAACGCAACTCTATGACGTCTAAAACGCATTATTGTATCATTTAAATCTCTTTGCAGCTTCCCGCCCAGTAATTACACCTCATTTAAGGATATGCCTTTATTTTTGCGAGAGCGCACATCAAATACCACGCGAAACTTTTTCACAACACAATGGTGTGGGATATAATATCTTAACGCATTCTGTTCTACTTGCTCCTCAACAATCTGCATATGCCCCAGCTCCTCATACTCTTTCATAAATTCACTATACTGTGCCTTCGATTCTGGCTCTTTCTCTAGCCGCTTCTCTAAATATAAAAACCGGCGCAAGGCAATCTCTTTGGAGCTGCCAATGTCTTGCACATCTCTTAAGGGTATAGTAACCACAAATCTGCCTTCGCTACCCTTATAATAGGTATTCAGAAAGATATTTTCTACTTACTCCTCTTCTGCTGTCCTAATTGGATGTTTACCAATGGACTCTAACTCCCAAAATTGTTTCAATAATCTTTCTAGCTCCCTATTGTCTTTGCACTCAACTGTTGATATAAGCTCACCTATCCGCTCATCACGCCGTTGAGCATACTCACCAAAAATGATTACAACCGGCATTGTCTCCATGAATGCTGTGCCTTCTGCACCTCCTTTCACAACCGCAATAATGCTTCTAGCCACGAAATTTGCTCCCAGCAATACATGCACCTCCTGCGCCTTCCAGTACTCTGGATCGGCAAGCGTTGCATTCAATGAGTTGCATATCGGGGTAACCGTTTCACCTGACGAAGGCAATATCGGAGACCACTGGCACTGGCGGATTGGTTGACGCATACCAAGGCTTAACCAGCAGCTCAGCTTTCTTGTTCACTCTTAACGGCTCACCTTCAATTCCAACCATTTTCCGTGTAATAGGCTCTGTCGGGATGCCATACTTCTTCTGCAATGCAAACGTAATTAAGTTAACTTGCGCCCCTGTATCTAAAAGTGTACGCACTGGCCCATATGTACAACCCTTGACCTGAAACTTGGTCATGGCTGTTGGCAATAAAGCTTTAATATGTTGTCCCCTGAATTAAAATTCATTATGTAACGTTTAATATTAGAACTATTATTTTCTTTAATCTCTTGCTCACAATTGCTCACAATATGAAATTTGCTCACAATTTTCGGTCTTTTAACAACCGCTCTAGCACTAAAATCTATTTCAGGTACATTTCTTTTATTCAATAAGCCTTATCTTTTATCTGAAGCTCTAAACTTATTATCTACTAGGCGGATGCGCTCATCCACGACTGGCGTCTTCTGGCCCCGCACACCATTGAACTGCACTTGCTCACTACTGGCTCCGCCTCTTGCACCATACAGATATCAATCTATCTTCTTTTTCTGCTTCTGGGTTTTAGCTTCATTCTTGACTTGCACACTATTAACTTGCTTGTTGCCATCACGATTCGGCAAAGAGCGCTGTTGTGTTTCGGCCTGCCGGGACACTTCCAGCATTCACACTGGTAACATGCATCTGCACCATGCCCTTTCTTATAACAGTTCGGGCAAAAAATTGCGCCGAACTAAATATTCTCGGCGCGCCTTCAATGTCAAAGACATGAATTCAGGGCAATGGTAAAGCATATGGTTATCATGCACGCCCCACACACTGTTGGTAACATGCATCTGCACCATGCCCTTTTTATAACAGTTCGGGCAAAAAATTGCGCCGAACTAAATATTCTCTGCGCGCCTTCAATGTCAAAGACATGAATTCAGGGCAATGGTAAAGCATATGGTTATCATGCACGCCCCACACACTGTTGGTAACATGCATCTGCACCATGCCCTTTCTTATAACAGTTCGGACAAAAAAATTGCGCCGAACTACATATTCTCTGCGCGCCTTCAATGTCAAAGACATGAATTCAGGGCAATGGTAAAGCATATGGTTATCATGCACGCCCCACACACTGTTGGTAACATGCATCTGCACCATGCCCTTTCTTATAACAGTTCGGACAAAAAAATTGCGCCGAACTACATATTCTCTGCGCGCCTTCAATGTCAAAGACATGAATTCAGGGCAATGGTAAAGCATATGGTTATCATGCACGCCCCACACACTGTTGGTAACATGCATCTGCACCATGCCCTTTTTATAACAGTTCGGGCAAAAAATTGCGCCGAACTAAATATTCTCTGCGCGCCTTCAATGTCAAAGACATGAATTCAGGGCAATGGTAAAGCCGGTTGGCCGCAATGCTGCCCTTGATGTCGACGGATCTTGACTTGCACCTTTAGCATCTCTAGCACCAATTACATTTGACTGCTTGCCCCTGTCTGGGATAGCCACTGCCGATTCAATGCGCCTGCGATTTCCTGCAGAATTCGCCAACGCTAAAGCCTGCTGTATCACTATCTAGCCTCTCATGGAGCATGTGCACCAGGAAAAAATCCCAGTGCTCAAGTGGAAATCCCTGCGCCTGCAATTGGCGACGCACCTCATGCGTCACATTCGACATCCGACTCAAATCCNATTCACTATCTAGCCTCTCGTGCAACATGTGCACCAGGAAAAAATCCCAGTGCTCAAGTGGAAATCCGTGCGCCTGCAATGGGCGACGCACCTCATGCGTCACATTCGACATCCGACTCAAATCCGTTGCCTTGATCGGGGCCTTTAGCTTTGGCAATCTAATAAAGTTTCGTAGACGCTCCCGGCCAATCAAATAACTTTGGTCATGCATTTGGTTCAAACACTCCCATGCCTGTGCATAGTTCTCTTCCAAAAATTGCCATTGCCCAAAAGCTAGCTTGGCATGCCCCACCAAAGAATTCGTTAGATACATACATAAATTTATATGATGGATCAATATCCGGGTTCTCATGTACTGATGCTTTGAACCGATCCCGGAAGCCCGTCCATTTGGTGGGGGTGACATCAAACTCGCCCCACGTATTTTTGATATTATTGGCTTGCTCAGGAATTTGCACCTTTACACTAATCGGCTGATCATTCGAAACTGCTTTCTGTGCTGCCCCCATAGCATTCCATTTACTTTGTAGAATTGCATAGGCCTCGAAATAATGGGCCTCCACTAGCGCCAAATTCTCTGAATCAAACTTCTCCAAATCCTTTACGTCTACGGCTTCGATTATGACCGCATACTCTTCATTGTATGCCTGCCATACAGATTTTAATGCACCCATGCGCACCTTGACCTGATCTGCCACCACTCGCTCCAAATCCTCGCCCTTAGCGAAATCTGGCGCACGCTTGATGGTAGCCGTATACGACTTCAACTTTCTGTTTTCAGCCATTCTGAAAACAACACAAGAACAACAAAAAAAAATAATGGTTTGAATCAATAATCATTCATGCACACAATTTCAATAACTCTAGCCCTCTTGTAACTATTTCATAAATATCCAAAGTAATTATGATAGCTCAGAACTGGCCAAATGTAATCCGCACCACTATACTTTACTCACTACTCATGCATAAGGATTATGCTTCCAACTAGCATATACGTTTGAAAATATTCAAGCTCTCCAAAACCTTGCTCACACATAACTAGCGCCTGCTCAAATTAGTTGGAAATATTTTAGCACCACCTAGGGTTGCCAAATTTTGAAACGGAGAAAGGAGTACATTTATATTTTCGATAGGAAAAACGCAGTACATGACATAAGAAAAGAGTAAAAATTTTTTTTTAATTTTTTGTGCAATTTATTGTTACAAATTACCATTAATTAGGTACAAACAAACAAAGATATCTTAGAAATCTTTTCCAAAGCAACAATGAATGTGAAAAATAAATAACTATATGGGTTGGCTTTCCAATAGGGGTGGTTGTTAAAGAGATGGAGATCGAAGGGGGAGTGGACGTGGCACCTTTTCCGACCTTTTTGGAGAGGGCATGAACCGCCATTGACAAAAATGTTACTCCCGACCACCTAGGGCCCCTAGGGTGACCAAAAGTCACAATTTTCACTTGCGTTTTTTCGTTTTAAAAAGGTTGAATATTCATTTGCACGGGACCTTTTATATACCTTTGATAACAAAAGAGGTGCCTGCCCCTCTTCCCCGGCAACACAGAAAGGAGAATTCTACTTAGTAAGGGTTATAATCCCTAAGCGCGGCCGAAGGCCGCCTACGCAGAAAGGAGTTAAGTGCAAAAATACTTTGGACACCGAAGCCGGAATCATATCCTCCTCTCTTCTTCGGCAACACAGAAAGGAGGATTCTACGTAGTAAGGGTTATACTCCCTAACCGAATTCTACGCAAAAATACTGTGGACGCAAGTGAAAATTGTGATTTTTGGCGATTTTTCTAAGGGGTCCCTGGGACCCATAGGGCGCCTAGGTGGGGGTTGGAGGTGCCACGCCCACTCCCCCTTCGCTCACCGCCTCTTCAATGACCACCCTTATAGGAAAGAATTCCAGACTCTTCATGAATGTATGGCCATTTTTTAAAGTAAGCCTTATAAATAATTTAATATTTTTCTGATTTTTATATCGGAGCGCCCTGCACCTACCTTGCTACGGCCATGGTTACACTTTTTCACTATCACATACTGCGTTTATACGCACATATTATTTGCAAATAACAATTTGCAAAATGGTAAACTTTGCCGTATAAACGCTGACTTATTTTTTATTTGCAAATAACTAAATCAAGCAAATAAGTATTGATTAGTGGTACTATTTGCAAATAAGCGCAAGACGCCGCCATTCTTAGGTTTATTTTCTTTTTCGATGGTCATCTTAATGCCTTTTTATAATCAATACGTTGCCATTTTTAACTTTATTTTCTTTTTCGATGGTCATATTATTGCCTTTTTATAATCAGGCAATATTAAAAAAGAATTTTTCACCATCGAATAAACAGTGAGTTAAGTATTTGCAAATTATTTTTATTTGCAAATAGCTTACGTATAAACATAGTAACACTTAACTTTGCTTACTAAGGGCCGGTTGTTCAATGTCTGATTAGCACAAATCGGAGGTAGAAGCTCTGGTTAGATACAACGACTGCTTTATCGATCACATGTTATATGTATGATGTCGAAATCGTCGATAATGATGTTTAACCGGCAAGTAGAGATAACCAGACATTGAAAAACCGGCCCTAAGTAGTGTTTGCCACAATATGAATCGTAATGTACAGGGCCTAAAATAATAACTGTCGCACAGGTTTTTTGAAAAATAGATTTTGTTAAACAAAGTATTTTTTTGTTAACTTTGTAAATATTTTACTTTAATTTTATTAATTGGTTTTAAAATTTTTATCCTTATTTGCATTTGCAAGCTTTGGGAGATAAGTACATGCGGCACACACCTCTTTTTCAGAAGTATGTTTCTTAGATTTTGTATAAAGAAACAAAACTGTATAGGGTTGGTCGAATGAATTCCCTCCTAGTGGGAGGAAATTAGCCTACGGTTACAGAAGATATGTAATAAAGTAACCGGCGAAGACTTGCGTGCCGCTTGCGCTTTTCTCCCAAACCCCCTGGTAAACCCAAATGAGGGTTAAATTTAAAAACTATACAATAACGACTTTTTTTTACTTCCGCTTTTCTCTCAAAGTGTTTATCGCCGGTAAACCCAAATGAAGGTTCAAATTTAAAAACAAATTAATAAAATTGAAGTAAAACCTGTGGATAATTAACAATGAACTACTTTTTTCGCAAAATCTATAAAGGCCAATTTTATTTAAAAAAAAGCTGTACAACAGTTATTAATTTACACCCTGTATATGATAAAATATTAATAGCTGGAAAAAGGAGTACAAAAGAAGTACAAAACTAATAAGGGAGTACATTTCCAGATATTTTTTTTG